AGGACCCCGACTCCATTCCCAGCACCTACATGGTAGCTCATATGCCTGTAACTCCAGTTTGAGTTACACCTGCACACAGACATGCAGGCAGGCAAAACATAAATGCACATGAAATAAAAATAATTATCTTTAAAAAAATGTCTTGGGCCTGGTGTGGTGCATGCATTCAACCCTGGCACTCAGGAGGCAGGTGGATCTCTGTGAGTTTGAGGCCAGCTTGGTCTACATCTACAGAGCTAGTTCTAGGACAGCCTGGGCTACCCTATCTCAAGAAAATGAAAGAAATGAAAGAAAGCATAGAAACAAGGTACTACCCAAATTAAAGAGATTCTCTGGAGATGTGTAAATGCATCAAGTTTTCCTCAGATAGCAGCAGACAGATGTCAAGATTTGAATGAAAGATGCTGGAGAGATGGCTCAGCAGGTAAGAGCACAGTCTGCGGTCTGCTCTTGTAGGGAACCCAGGTTTGGTTCCCAACACCCACATAGCAGTTCACAACTGTCTGTAACTTCAGTTCTAAAAAAAAAAGGACTAGGTAAAAATGCAACAGAACTTTCCTCAGTCTGAAGAGCCCTGAGATGCAGCGAGGTCACCGATAAGCTTTAGCACTGGGTCTCTTTCATGGGCATTAAGTGCTCGTTGCCTTTGGCTCCACTGAAAGCTTTGCTTGTGGGGAAAGGCCTTGAACAAAGGCTCTGATTACCCGAGTGAGACCCAGTGGCGCTGAGCGCTGACCGGACGCTGGGTGACCCAGTGGCGCTGAATGCTGACCGGACACTGGGTGACACCGCAGCACTTTCAGTTTTGATTTTTATTTATTTATTTATTTATTATGTACACAGCATTCCTTCCATGCATGCTTGCATGCCATAAGAGGGCACCAGATCTCATCATAGATGGTTATGAACCACCATGTGGTTGCTGGGAATTGAACTCAGGACCTCTGGAAGAGCAGTCAGTGCTCTTAACCTCTGAGCCATCTCTCCAGCCCTCAGTTTTGATTTTTTTCTTTATTCTTCTCTCATACAATACATCCCAACCACAGCCTCCCCTCCCTCTCCATCTGCCCTCTCCTCTTGGTCCACTGCTCCTCCCTTCCCCTTCAGAAAAGAACAGGCCTCCCAGTGATGGCAACTAAACATTGCATACCAAGATGCAGAAGACGAGGCAAAACCCTCATATCAAAGCTAGACAAGGCAACCCAGTAGGAGGAAAAGGGTCCCAAGAGCAGGCAGAGTCAGAGACCCCCACTACTAGGAGTCCATCAAAACCCCAAACTAAACAACCACAGCATGTATACAGAGGCCCTATGGCAGACCCATGCAGATCTGTGGGTACCACTTCCCTCTCTATGAGCTCCTATGAGCCCAGCTTAGTTGATTCTGTGGGCCCTGTTCTTCGGGTGGCCTCACACCCGTCTCCTATCATCCTCCCCTCTTCTGTAGGGTTTCCCGAACTCTGCCTGATGTTTGGCTGTGGGTCTCTGCATCTATTCCCGCCAGCTGCTGGGGAAGCCTCTCTGATGACAACTGGGCTAGGCACTGATCTATGCGTACAGCAGAGTATCATTAGGACTTTCTTTTTTGTCAGTAGTGTTTGGTTCTACCCTGGGTCTCTAAGATACCCAGTTTTCAGATCCTGGCCATCCATGCACTGCCGGGCATGGGCTTCTTCTTGTGACTTGGGCCTGGTTAGACTATCATTGGTTGACCATTCCCACAAGCCCTGAGCCACCATTACCCTAGCACATATTGCAGGCAGATTATGGATAGTAGGTTTTATAGCTGAGTTGGTGTCCCACACCCACCACTGGAAGCCTAGGCTGTTTACAGAAAATGGCCAGTTTAGGGTCCATACCTCCATTACTAGGAGTCCCCACCACAGCCACCCTCATAGGTTCCAGAAGTTTCCACTGTTTGTAGAAACCTCGTGCATTTTCACTGTTTCTAAGGTCTGTGACAGGGCAATCATGGGAAATGCATTTGGCAACACTCCCTGCTCTGTGGAAAAGCATTAAAAATCAGGATGGAGATGGTGAACAGGCAGAAGCAACCAGCAAGTTGCCTCAGGAGGCAGCTGGCAGAGGCTATTTTGGAGTCTGGGTTTCAAATCTTATGCCTGCCTACCTCTAGGGTATAAACAGTGAATGACTCCGCGGAAGGTAATTCCAGAAAGACACGGGGCCAGTACAAAACTTGGAACTGGAAACAGCAAGGGACCCCGTATCTGCAGGGGCCACATGGGAAATGACCAGAGTCCCACAAGAGAATCAGTCATAGGGGCCATGAAAGTGGCCCAGTGGTTAAGAGCCTGCATGCCTCTGGCAGATCTGAGTCTGTTCCCAGCATCCACATTAGACAGCTTACAGTTCTCCACGTGACTCCAGTTCTAGGGGCTCCAATAGCAACTGTGGGGAGCTGCACTCACGTGAGCATACCTACATATAGACACACAGGCATACTCACAATTTATAAAAAAAAAAAAAACAAAAACAAAAAAATGTCAGGCGTGGTTGGTAGTGCACACCTTTAATACCAGCACTCCGGAGGCAGAGGCAGGCAATCTCTTCAGAACAGCCTAGTGTAATCAAAGAAACCCGGTCTTGAAACAAGCTCCCCACGCACCCGCAAAGAAAAACAAAATATTTTAAGACATTATTATAGTGTTCTGGCTACATATATGACTGCACACCAGAAGAGAACACCAGATCGCATCATAGACGGTTGTGAGCCACCACGTTGTTGCTGGGAATTGAACTCATACCTCAGGAAAGGCAGTCAGTGCTCTTAATCTCTGAGCCACCTCTCCAAAGAAAAACCAGGTGTGGTGGCTCCTGCCTTTATTACCAGGGGACAGGTCTAGAGTTCAAGGTCAGCCAAAGCTGAGGTCAGTGGGTGGGTTTCTGTAGAGCCTTGAACTCTCACTCTCTCTGAAGCTCTAGTTGGGAACCCAAGGCACAGGGTGAGTTGTCCTTGCTATCTTCCTGAGAGCACCCAGCAGAGGACGGGTGTGGAGTGAAGGTGTGGGTGTGTCCCGCCCCAGACACAGAGAACCATTTGCCTCTTCCCTCATCCATAAAGCTGAGGCAGATCATTAGCAGAAGCCAAGCTGTCACCCCTGGGAAGGGTGTATAAATGTTTTGCAAATGGAGCTCTTTAGAGGGCAAGGCACTCTGAAGAAACCCATCCATTTGGCAGGGACTAATGGAAACACTGCAAACACTTGTGCTAGAGAACTCAGAGGGCTCTAGGCTTCTGTCATGCTTATTCTTTAGTTTTGCTTTGTCAGTCATGATTATGCCTGAAATTACTGGCAACAAGTCTTTACGGAAAAATTAAATTTTCTCTGGTCTGTTACTGAAACCGGTCTCTCCCATTATTGCATATTCCAGTTCCAAAAAGTGATATACTCCCAAAGAATTTAAGAACTTGGAAGTTTCTTAAAAGATGCCATCAAAAACTTACTTACAAACATGTAAGGAAAAGATATAGGCCATGAAAGGTCAGACATCTCTAGCACCAGGCCATGAACACTTAATTTCCCCTATATCAAAGGAATTAACTCCCACTTCCCGCAAGTATATGCAGAAACTGCCAGGAATAGAAATTTAATTCCAACAGTTACAGGGATTAACCATTACAAATTTTCAGAACCTGTAAAAGATAGAATAACTAATCCACATTTAGCATATCCTAGGCACAATATACTGATTTTAAGTTTAGAACTAATCAGCTTAAATCTTGTAACTAATCCCTTGCTGCCAGCTAGGGCACAGTATGGTTAAAATGTATCTAGCCAGATGTAAACATTTGGCTTGCATTCTGATATAAAGGACAAGGACGGTAAGGAGGTGGGCAAGAGAAACTAAGATGAATAAATGTTAATGACTCTTGGAAAATGATTGAGAAATGACTTTAAACTGCTCACACTCAAATGCATTACAACTAGCTCAGGCTGTCAGCTTGAAAGACAGTTGGTGATCAGACTCTTCACCCTTTTGCCCTGTGGCACAAGAACCCCCACAGGAGCTGGACTCTGCCAGGTCACCAAGTCACTGGCATGGAGCCACATTCACAGGGCAGCTGCACCTGTAAAAGCCCACCCAGCTCTGTGGTGCTTCCCAAGAGTGGCTATCAGGTTTATTTTCAGAAATAGTATGTTTAAAAAAAAATCATTCCTAATTTTAAAAGATACCAGTTAAAAATTAGTGCCTGGGGCAGCATCTTTAGCCCCAGTACTCAGCAGTACTAACCAGACAATGCTAAGTGGCACACACATACACAGGCAAAACAAGCACACAACAGACCCAGCCACACAAGCCCAAGAGTGATCCTTGGGCTCCACAAAACAGATTTCAGCATCAACTAGGTCTGTCTTATGAAATTCACAGGTCAGAACAGCCTGGGTTCATCATAGGCAGCTGCTTTCCCAGGACTGGGAAGCATAGGTCGCCTAGACTTGGTACCCTGAGTTGAAGTCTGCAGACCCCAAAACCTGTTTGATGGCTGTAAAGGAAATCATGGTTTTCTTTACTAATCACCACAGAATAACACAGGAAAGCAACTGAGATGCTTGGGCACATTAAGGGACAGTAGTAATCCAAACTGACAAATGTTTGATCCTAGGTAGAACAAAAGGGAATGGGGTAGAGCTCCGAAGGCAGAACCCACAAAGGGCACAAGAGGGCTAGAACCTATGAAGGTAAATCCTGGAAATATGGGGCAGATATGGAAGGACACACCGGCCTTCGAGGTGAGCAAATCAAGGCGATATCACCAACTCTAGGAGTGGACTCAGCCCACTCGAAGCCATCGTGCAAGATTACCCACATCAGGCTGGCCTGCAACTTTATAAAGCTGGCCATTAGGGTGGCAACTAACAGGCCCAACTCCTCGGTACTGTTTTAGGTAGACACAACTATTCCTTGGGAGGCACTGAGGCTACACTCACAGGAAGCAGCTGCTGGTCCCACCCAGAAGCAAATAAATGCAAACAGACACCGGGTGAGATTTTTATTTCTACAGATAGGTCTGTGTCATTCAGTATTTCTAATAGCAGTGCATACCATGCCACATTCCAGCCTAAAAAGTAAACTTTCTGGATCACATACAGCCCTTGGGACCAAATGTATAAAATCCTTTATGGGACCGAGCCAGCAGGAAACTGTTCATCTGTTCTCCAGAAGTACCTAAAAAGAAAACAGAACACAAAAGGTTGATAGTCGTGCCTGGCATGAACTGCATCTGGTTGGAGCCCACATTCCTTATGATTTAAAGTTCAGATACCAGGGGCAAAACTTCTGGGACATCCCCTTCAAACATGAATTCCAATGTTTCAATTGAGTGAATACACCCTTAATGCGGAAAAACTCCACAGCATCCAGGACATCGAGATGCCCCAAGAACATTTCACACACCCATTATCTCAAGAATTGGTTCAAAACCATCAATAGCAAAATCTCACCTGTTTCAGGACATTGAAATCAAGGAAGATCTGAACATACTGGCATCCATGGCAACCTGAGGCCTATATAAAGTATATAGATGAAGCCATTATCATAAATGAAACAAACAGCTCAAAGCCAAAACAAGAAATTATTCCCAGGGCCAACACATCAGACAAAACTGGCTATTAGCTTATGAGATCAACAGGGTCGATCTGACGGGGAAAAAAGTAATGTCATCAGCTGCATCAGCCAAATTTATGTCAAAAGAAACAACTCTGCAATGAAAGATTCTATGCCCAGGGGAGGGGCACATAGGAACCACTTACCAGTCCTCTCCTACTCCAGAATTCACCCTCCATCCAATGTCTGCTATCAGCAGCCAAACCTGAGACAAAAATGCAGGGGAAAATAATCAGCTGCCTGGACGAGACACAGCAGTAGCAGGCACTGCTCAGGCAGGCATGTCAGACAAACTGGCTTACAAGAGTGTGATCAACATGGTCGATCTGATGGGGAAAAAAGTTCTGTCATCACGCATGCCTGGACACTCCTGAGCCTAGTCCTGCACGTACAGGCACTCAGTTTTGCAAAAGCTAAGTTTGTAATTGCTGAAATGTCGCTCTTCACTGCCTTGTCCAGGTATCTCTCACCTTGAGAATGTCCCTCAAGAAAACTGGATGTTTCCCAATACTGGTGTGAAATGCGCTCAAGGGACACTGAGTGCAGCAATAAACCTAACCCAAACGCACAACTGACTTGACTGGTACACTGTTCACATGCAAATAACCCGTGCTGCCCCGCTAAGACACTTAGCAGGGGTCTCAAACTGGGCATCGGCCTGGGCCTACGTCCTGTGTGCCCTGACTGCTGGGTCACTTGTCCCAGAGCACAAATTCTACCTGAACAGGTTGAGTGAGAGTAACTACGATCGCACCACTTTGAAAAAAAATGCTCCACTGAAATAACAAGCACGTAAATTCAAGCTATAACATAACAGTCTTAGAAAATGCGGTTCTCAATACAAAGAAAATATGCTACATGCCTGCCTATAGGCCAATTTCACGGGAGCATTCTCTCAATCGAGATTCCCTTTCCTTAGGCATCTCTCATTTGACACAAGCTACCAAAAAATAAACTAGGGCAGGGATCTGCACGCACGGGTTGCATCCCCCAGAACTGGAAATATAGAAGGAATCGAAATTGAAAACAGGCATTCTAATAGCATTCTGCAGGTTTCTCTTAAGCCTACGCATTCGTCAGGATTTACAAGTTCAGAGGTAAGACACGTGCTCATCTCCACTAGCCAAACCCATTAATCCCAGCATTGAACCTGGCGTTTGCATTCCATCACAGCCAACTGAAAGGCTCTTAAAGCACGTGTTTCGTACATTAAACCAGACAAACCGCACCTTAAGAAATTAGGAAGTCGAAGGTCATAGACTTATTCTCATCTCCCTGGAGGCCCAAAGGTGGCGGCGTCTCCTCTCCCTCCAACCCCTGTTCTGCACCGCTTAATCATGCCAACCTGCAAAAAAAAAGCAAAGGCGTCAACCGCCATTTTGCCTCAGCCTGAACAAAGCACACGAAGGTCTATGGGGCTGGCGTATCAGGATTAACTGGCAAAAGTGTTTAAGAGATCAGCATTGTCGATATGACGGGGAAAAAAGCGAAGTCATCATTTACACCAGCAAAGAGCTTTTTCAAGTACAACCTGAAGGCGTCTTTTCCATCTAAATCACTTCCCCAAAGGCCAAGCTGGGGCTGGACAGGTCACACTATGAGATTATGACCAATTACAGCGACCACAGCATAAACTTGGCAGAAGATGAACAGAAAATTGTACTGTGGGGCCTCAACTCACCATCTGCACATTACTCCCACATGGACGAGACATGGCGCACAAAGCTGAAGACGAAGGATCTCAGGAACGAAAGAACGAGGATGGCAGCCGACCTTCTTTATATAGACCAAGGTAAAGCATGCGCCTGCGCACTGGGCCTCAGGCGCGCCGCTTCCGGTAGCGGCCGCTACGCCCTCTGGGAAATAGAGTCCCCGAGCTGCCCCGCCCCTGCTCGCTAATGGCTGTCCAGCCCGCGTCTAGCCCCTCCCCGTGCTCACTGGGCCTCTGGGGCTGCTCAGCCTCCGCGCCAAGTCGCGCTTGGCACGCACGAGCCGCCCGCCGAGTCCCCCCTGCTCCGGGGCCAGCCG